TCGGCATTCTTGGAATTCCAAAAGTTTGAAATTAGAAATGGTGCCTTTCAAAGAGCCAAAATCTGCCTAATAACTCCTTGAGGCATCTAGAACCCGTCCATAATCATTTTTGGCACATAAGCGTCAGAAAGTGGCACAATGGCGTCATCTTTGCTATTTTTTAGGCGAGGACTGGCGCCTTGGCACATCCTACTGACAACGCCCTCGTTTACTTCCGTTTCGCCTCGTTTCAGCTCCAAACCGCTCCAAGTGTTATATTTGCAAGATAAACATGAAAATAACATTTTCTTAAAGTGCAATTTCATTCAAAAACATGTGATAAATGTAAGAGAAATTAAACATAAAAATTAATGAAAGACATATCAAAATGCACTAGGTCAAATTTTTCTTCCTTGCTTCATTTGACTCCAAATTACACCATTTTTGCTCCATTTTCTCTAAAACTCTATCTCTTGTACCTGAAACCAAAAACACACAAAATACCTTCCATTAAAGTACAATATCATTAAAAATAAACATAAAATTTATGTAAAAAGTAGCACATTTTTAGGCGTGTCAGAGGGGTAGTTTCCCCCCTGTCGAGGGACGTGGCACCTTGCAAAAGTCTGTTAGCAGAGAAGGTCGTGGACGTGGTGTTATGGAGGCCAGCCTTGCACTAGACACGCACCGGCATGCCTCCACCTCTACTCCCACCACATTAGTACCACCTCTAGTTGCGACACCACCAGCACCACCTCCATCAGTTGCGACCACGTCATCACCACTACCACCATTCATGACCACGACACCACCACCGCAACCAACTACGACCATGACACAACCAACACTATCACCATCAGCTTATCTTGATGTGCGTTCTAGTTCGAACAGCATGAGCATACATCATCAGCTTTAATTTAATACTGACATTTCTATTTTATGTTATTCTTAATTTAATATGGAGCCCTTTTATTTTCAGATTTACTCCCCCCACACAGGCCATCCATTCCATCAAAGACATTATTCTGAGTAAGTATGATCACCCATACATACCCTGGAGGGAGATCCCGATGACAGTTCGAGATATGTGGTAATTTAGGGGATTTGCGGTAAACTCTGAACACATTAATTTCATTTATGTATTTATTTTTATGACTCTTAACATCTTCTAATTCAAATTACGGAAATATTGGTCCTAGCCCCTTGAGGAGGAGACAAACATCCGGAGGAACTTTGAGCACAAGGGGAGTGATCGTCTTCGCGACCATTTCAACGACATACACTAGACACATGAGAGCCACTTGTGGCTCGGTGAGGATGTGCTCGCTGCTCTACTTAGGGCCTGGTAATCTCCTAAGTATTAGAAGAAGAGTGAGCAGACAAATCAGAATCTTTGCTCTGACTGCGGGGGCATGAAGGCCTCAAAGTATATTGGTGGAGCGCTTCCACATAAGAAGTACAAGATGAGGCTAGTGAGATTTATTTCTGCATTAAATGTTATTTTACATTAAATTTATGGTAACTATTTCATTACATTGACAGACTCTAGAGAAAGGACGAGAGCCAACCGTTGCGGAGTTACACGTGCACTCACAAGCAGTAGTCGGATCAGTCATGGGTGAACAGCAGATCCCAGGTGACCAAGTAATTCACAAGATTAATTGGTACTAAGTTCATATAACTAACAAAATTTATTTAGTCTCCAACTTTCATTAATTATAATTGTTGTGGGAGGCCTTTAAGAGGCTCAAGGAGAGCTGATCCAAGCAGTCGGGCAGTGGTTTGACATATCTCACTATTCTTATGAGTACGACCTGTGGAGGGAGGTTGTCGGCAGCAGGAAGAATGACAATGTTTAAGGGTTGGTGTCCCAGGTGCCGACCTATGTTGTCTGCCCAACGTCTAGCACATCTGGTGCATCTACTTCCATTGCACATGAGAAGGAGATTTGTCACCAGGTTGTTGCCAAGGTCTGCACTCACCTAGCCACCATGAGATCAGAGATAGAGCAGAGGATGAAAGTAGAGATCTAAGAGATGTTGTGTTCTAAACTGTAGAAAAGGCAAACAACCAGAGGAGGATGAGTTGAGTGGTTATTTGTATGTTTGTTTATGTTAAACAACTTATGGGTCACGAACAATATATGACAATTGTTCATTTTTTTGTTTAATTTAATATTTTTTATTTTATTTATGCATATGGTTTATATGTTAGTTTGTTTCATTACGGTGTTGTGTTGTGTTGTATGAAGATTTTACTGTTACAATTCCAGGTATGTAAATTATAGTGTTGAAGGAGAGCATTAATTTTTTTTCCTAATATTACAGGTTTTCGACAGCTTACCGACAGTCTTATGACACTTCAATTATGTGTCGATGGTTTTCAGACGAGCCAACAAGCGAAGTTTAAATAGAATGTTGCACTTTTTCTACAGATACAGCCGACAGTAATTTTCCATGATTAACCAATGGTTATGCTATACTTTACCGACAAAGATGCGACATTTTTCTAACGAAAGTGCAACTTTTCCTAAGGATAGATATGCCAATTATGTTAACGACGGTAAAGCTATGGTTAAACATGGTACAGTCTTAGATCAACAACAAAGATTACTACACGTCAGATAACCGTCGATAAATATAAACCATCGATAAATCCATATGTAATTTTATTACTAACAAACATTTTTGCTACGTCGAATGAACCGTAGCGAGACTGTCGGTAAATATATCACTGGCGATTTAAATATTATTACCGACAGTATTAGACCGTTGGTAGTAAGCTAAATTCATGTAGTGGATGACTTGATATGAGATATAATGTCAAAGGACATGTAATATAATGCAATAAAAATCAATGGGGTGTCATAAAGTGATATTTTTAGTATTTTACATGTATGATTTATCATCCAGCTACTTTCTCACTCGACGACTAAGCTTAATTATCTTCTTATCGACGGGATCAACTCGATCGACCGAGCTTGGTAGATATGGGTCGACCGACTAACATAATCTAGTTGTTAATCCTTGATCTTTAGTGAGCCTTTGAGGCATCCATGTGTCCTATTTAGCGTCGTATTTTCATTTAATTCTAATAGATTAAGATGATTTTTATACAATATGCCCAAGACATTTTCGGTATACTTTTGCCTTTCTTAACTCTAAAATATCTAAACATGTACAAATAATAATAATAATAATAGAATAAAATTTGTGGATTAATCTCAGGTCAGAAGCGTCTGGGCTAAACAATACAAATTGTGAAATTATACCCAAAAAAAAAAAAAGGAAAAAAAAAAGAAATAAAAAAACAATTGTGTATGATATTCCTTGAATCGTCTTGTAAATAACCCGTGCTTATCCCATGCTGGCATCAAAGAATGGAACAGACTATGCATGATCCGGCATGAAATTCCTGAGGCACGCAAGTGGCTGCGACTCATCCGGCGCAATCTCCTCGAAGGGAATGTAGTACTTTTCCTTGTTATATACATGGCAAGTGGTCATTATCGTTTTCATCAAACGCCAGTTCCAGTTGGCTTCATTCAGATACTTCATGTGGGTTCCAACAATAAAAATTTCCGTGTTAGAATATGTTACTGAAACAGTATCTCGTTTCTCAGAATATCAAATATGCTACATGCCATATCTTAGTTGCATGTAAAAGCGAATATTTCTAATGGCATGCCAGTGAAAACCCATTTTCTTTTTTTTTGATGTATGTAAAACCAAATAGGTATTAAAATATTAAACGCACCTTGCCCCAATTTTGTTGGAGTGAAAGATGTGCCTCACGAAGGTTGTAGGATGGAATTCTTGGGGAAATGTGATGGGGAATATGCACATTAATATCATGGCACAGCACCTCTATCCTGCAAGACATTGCTTTTCAGAAATTTCAATTTTGATCAGTCGAATAAGAGACCAGGTCAGCATGATATAAGCAGCAAAGTGATAACATAAAAAGAGGATTGGATGGAGAAAGTCTCGAAGACACACCAACGAGGGTAATTACAATGGACGGTTCCATTGAGCTGGGCTTGGGCAGCATTCCACTCATCCGATGCTTTGAATGGTATGTGAGGAGCAGTGTGATGGACCATAGTGAAAGTACTCATCTACGAAATCAGGAAATATCAAGATAAGTAATTGTGGACTTCTAAAACTATTATGTTTTATTCAAAATGAAAAAAAAAAAGAACTTGAACAACAGGACGAATATACCCAGAAGTGATAAACTAGCCATGGCATGAGCCAAAACTTGATCCATCCTACAATGCCAGTTTTATAAATAATCAACGGCCACCCAATTGCAATGAAAGCAAAGACACATGCCAAGCTTATCTTGACACGACCTACTTCATTTGGTTTGAACTTCTTCAAATCGAAGTGCCACATCAACCTAACATTGCACTCGATAATAAATTAAAATCAATGAATATTTTGTGAATATTTGATGGATCAATTTAAGTATATGAAATCCTATCAAACATATACAATTTCAACAAGATGGCAGTTGGTTAGATACCAATGAGCTATTGACATCCAAGGTCTAAGTGGACCATAACCGAAGATTAGTGACTTCCTCAGCAACGGGGATGCATCAATTTCCTCTTTAAAAATTGGATGCCAGGCAGTATCCTCTAATAACCTGGAAGATCAGATAGAATCAATTTTACCCTACCATCTACACAATCCAAAGATTATCACATACAAGATGGACATGTTTAAGGATGTAGAATATGAGAACCTTCTATCCAAAAAAAAAAAAACAACAAGGAAAAAAAATATAAGAGCAGACGGAGACAAACATGTTTGTTTTGGCATGATGTTTGTCATGTTTGAAGCGCCAAGACTCATATGGATAAATGAGAGGTAAAAAAGCCAGAGTTCCAACTATGTCTTCCACCAATTTATTCCTTGAGAAGGACCTATGCGCACAATCATGGCCTATCACAAAAAACTATAGTAATAGTATTATTAAAAAATTTTAAGAAAAAAATATAATAACTATTTATGAAACAATCATGACCAATCACAAAAGCTGTACGCAAATATATATTAAATTAAATGAAAAACAAAAAGAGCAGAAAAGAATAACTTGTAGAGCTGTGGTTATGAAGAAATGCATAATGATCTAAACTGTAATTGCTCCATAATTTGAATAAATAAAATGCTGAGAGAAACTAACCCCCGTAACAGCAGTTCCAGTCCATGCCCATGCAAGCAGGAGCAAGTACCATGGAGCTTTTGCAATCATCAAAATTCCCAAAACATAAGAAACAACTGATACCAAAACAGACCTCCATGCTTTAATATCATCAATCTCAAATACCTTCAAAGAAGACTTTCCGTTAGACTGGCTCGAGATTATCATTAGCCAGATCCCAACTTTTTGGGTCGGCATAGATTGAACAATGATGTTAAAATTTATTATGTTAACTAACCTTTTTTGGGAGGGTTGTAATGATGTCTTTGAGAGTTACATTATTGGGAACTGCTTCCCCAATTTTCATAAAGCCATAAGTTTTACACATATCGATTCTTTGAACATCATTAGCTAGCAAAGAAGGTGAAATTGGGATAACAGAAGCCTGTACAACTTTAATCAATTTCTTGCTGGAAAAAATTATAGGGCAGTGTCTCCTCCTCTGATGAACTGCTAAACAATGCATGTCTAACAAAAAAAAAAAAAACATACAAATGAATTAAGATTAATAACGAAAACACATCTTCATCAAAATAAGTGTATATTGTAAGCAGATTAAGTTCTTGGTAAGTATGGTTATCTACTAATTCAATATTTGATGCTTACCCAAAAATTAGGTACTCAGTAGGTCGACCGGAAAGGACCATAAAAAACAATAGTGCATAGCTAAGCACGAAGTTTTGTTAATGCTGATTATACCAGCAAGATGGTCCTTTGTTTATCCTAATCAAGCCTCCAAAAGACGATGCTCATCTTGTTAAAAACTTGGTGAAAGAGTTTCCATAAGACTCGGTCTTCAACATATGCCCACGGACATGGCTTTAATATATGTTTTCCAGGATACAGTTGCCCACTCCTATGAAACCTATTTTCAAAGGACAAGCTTACACAAACTTTATTCAGCAAAATGAGTAAGTGAAGCATTCAAAAGACACTAAAAGCTACCCATTAATTGCAGCTGGCATCGAGATTGCTCACAAAAGTATAATAAAACAACCACCCATGCTCTAATACCCATTTTTTCTCCCCACTATTTTGACAACTGATGTGCATGTCTCTGCCCCATGAAGCACTTTATCATCTTACCTCTTGCCTCTCACTTTCTCAGAGCCTTCTTGGTTGAAATCATGGTAACCCACACCACCTCGTATCCCCCTACTCATCTCCTCCACTCCCCTTCCTATCCCTCCATTCAGTCGACCTCTCCAAGACCTTCTACACCTACCGGTTGCCACCTCTTGTCACTCCTCTTGTCACCCTAAAGCTAAAGTTTAAAATAATAATAATAATAATACTTTAATTAAAATGGGTTTATGTTAGATTTAGGCTTAACATAAATTTAGGTTACATTCTTGCTTAAACACAAATTTAACATTAGCAATAGGTTAATGAATTTTAGGCTATAGTTTAGTTTAACATAGAATTAACTTTAGCTTTAAGTTAGATTTAGTTTAGCAAATTTAGATTATCTGTTAGTTTAAGATTAATTTATTACTTAATTTAGTTCAGATTTAACTTAACAAAAATTTTAGTAGCAAATTAGTTTGGCACAACTTTACTTAAATAATTACACTATGCTTTTTTTTTTCTTCTTTTTTGAATACACAAGCCACGGAACGCTCTTCTGTTTGAATAGACCGCACATCAACTTTCTGTTTAAACATACCACAGATCTCCTCTCTGGTTCGCTAAAGCAGCAAATGATTCAGCTTGCCCTAGCCTCCGTCTCACAAGTCTCCTACTTACAAATAGCCCAGATCTCTCACCAGTGTCAAACTCATAAAAACTGAGCGCCCCACACCTCCCTCTAGTTCTTGTTCGCTCGCTTAGCCAAACAGTCGAACTAAAAGTCCTCTATCTAGTTCCTGTTTGCTTGTCCAATCAAGAAGTAGAACTAAGAAAACTCCTCTCGCTTTGATTCTAGCAGCAGGCCTTCTCAATTCGGGCATCACAACCTTATCATGGTCAAATACAGCATGGCCTCACAATCTTCTTCCCCAGGAAGTCACCTTTAGATCTAAGCCTACATCTTCGGTACCTATCATACCTGATAACTCATCCCACCAAGTCATTAACCATAAATTGCATGACCATAATTTTCTTCAATGATTACAATTTGCCTTCACGTACATATGCGACAAAGGAAAAGATAGACGTCTTATAGGTGAAATTTCAGCTTCATAAATGACAGATCTGATTTAGGGCCTGAAAAACAAACGACAATTTGGTTATGTCATGGTTAATAGATTACAAGATCACAAAGATTGGAAAAAACTTTCTGCTTTATAAAATATATAAGGAGATATAACAGATTGCACATGAAACCTACTTTAGCACTAAGAACTCCTCAAGCATTATTTGATATTAAGATTAGACTACATGATCTATGATATTGGGAACTAAGTGTTACTCAATATTTAAATACTCACATGTTGTTTGCTGCAACTGAACACGTATGAGGTTCATTCTCGGAAATGCATTGATGACTTTACTTTGTATTAGAAAATTATTGAATAAATGAGGACAATCAAATTCCTTCTTAGCCTTAATAAACCCCTTCATACCATCCGTGCGGCATTTACAAAAGTTCAAAGATAGAAAAACAAAAAGAAGTTAATGGTGACAGATAATCACACCAAACCATCTATTGAAGGGTCAACCTTGTACGCTCATAACTCCTCTCAGAATAATAAACTCAAGACTGTGGTGCGATCATTGTAAGAAACCTGATCATGTGAAGCAAATATGTTGAAAATTACACATAAAACCTACAGATTGGAAGTCATACAATGGAAGGCGTCATAAAAGGAATTGTGCAAATACAGTTGTCATAACAAACAACAATGAAGAATTCAGTCCATTCATTAAGGTGCAAATTGAGGCACTGCAGAAAATGTTAATTTATGGTTATAGTTATCGACAAATACCACAATCCTCTACCGTGCAACCGATCAGTTTGTTCCCACACCAAGGTATCTTACCCTATACCCTTAATGTTCAAAGCAATAAACTAAAAGCTTGGATATTTGACTCCGCATCCTCAGATCATGTTACGGAAGGCATCAATGCCTTCAAAAATTACAACCCATACACTAGTCACTCTGCAGTTCGAGCAACTGACCATTCTTTCTTTGAAGTACCAGGAACTGAATCAGTCATATTGACAAAAGATGTTTCCTTCGCTCTGTTCTTTATTTTCCAAAATTAGACAACAAACTGCTCTCAATCAACAAAATTACTCATGACTTAAATTGTGCGACTAAATTTCATTCCAACTTTTGTGATTTTTAGGCAGTTGATTAGAGGAAAATGATTGCCAGTGCTAAAATGCATGATGATCTATATTTGCTCCAAAAAAAAAAAAAAATCTCATTGGTTGTTCATTCATCCATCAAATTGTATTTTTGTGTTTAGTTCAAATTTTGTTAATCTAGTTTATAATTCTAAGTGTTTTAGTTGAAAATCAAGTCATGTTAAGGTATTATCGTATTGATCATCCAAATTTTGGTTATATTGAAAAAAAAATCACATCAGTTTATCAATAAAAAGTCTGATTTCTATCAATTTTAAATGTGTCAACTTGCAACACATAAAATACATGTATATTCTAAACTACAGTGCCAACCCTCAATTTTTTTATTGTAATTCATAGCGATATCTGGGTACCCACCCAAGTAAAAAATATAAACAGAGCACAATGAATTCAATCATTCATAGATGATCATACTAGAACAGCTTAAATATTCCTTATGAAATAAAAATTTGAATGAGCCACCATATTTCAATCATTTCATTTCATGATCCTTACTCAATTCTAAAAAAAAATTAAAGCTCTTAAAACTATTAATGCTAAACAATATTTTAATTCCATTCTTCATCTTCATTTCAAGCAATGTATCATCCATATAAGTTCTTGTGACGATGCTCAACAGAATGAGGTCGTTGAGAGGACAAACAAACATTTACTTGAAGTGGCTCATGATATTATAATATTTAATCATGTGCCTAAACACATTTGCTGGAAAATCATACTCAGTCACATATCTTATCAATAGAATACCCAGTCTTATCCTAAATTTTCACACTTCTCATAAAGTACTTCTGGAATTCTATCCACCTATTTGCTACTTTTCTTTCGACTTACCATTGAAAGTCTTTGATTGTTCGGTCTTTGCTCATATACAGCAACAACACTGCACTAAACTTGATCCCAAACCTCTCAAAACTATCTTCCTCAGTTACTCCAACCAAAAAGGATACAAATGCTACTCTCAAATCACTAAAAATATATATAACTCCATGGATATCACCTTCATTGACAATCATTCTTACTTTCATAAATCTAAAATAAAGGGGTAGAACTTGAGGGGATATGAAATTTGGAACATTCTCCAAGATACTCAAATTGAATCAAATCTAGTCACTCAAACAACTGAACGAAATCCTACAACTCAACCAGCTCCACATTAAAAACCAAACTGTCACTGAAATTGCCCCACTTGTCTCTATTTCAGCTCAGCATGACACTAGTGATCGGGAGCTTCGTGTCTATACCAGAAGAAAAATAACCACTAAGCATGTAGAGGACACCATGTCGATTAAGAACTGTCAAGAATCCGAACAAAGTCAAACAACTAATAATCATAATGATATGGATTCCTTATCATGTTTGAAGATGTAATAATCATCTAATTGAAAGATATATAATCTTATGGAAAATTGTTACAATCTTACATGATTTTTGTTACAAAATAGTGTGCAAGTTCCAAACTCTATTCATAAGGCTCCAAAGGTTCTAGCATGTAAACCGACAGTTTATGAAGATATTCAGGCTCAAGAAAATAATAACACTTGGGGCTTACAAAGGTGCCTCATGGAAGAAATCCTATAAGCTACAAATGAATATTCATGATTAAATACAAAAAAATTGAAGTATTGAGATTGATTACCAGGAAATCTTGGCACCTATTGTCAAGCTCAATATTGTTTGGGTTCTACTATCTCTTGCAATAAATCAAGATTAGCATCCATACCAATTGGATATCAAAAATGCCTTTCTGAATGAGGACTTTCATGAAAAATTTTACATAACTATACCTCCGAGTTTTGACAAAAGGTTGAACAATAGGTTAGTTTGTGAACTGAAGAAGTCCTTATAAGGCTTGAAGCAATCTACTCATACTTGATTTGACTAGTTTACTAAGACTGTGATTACAAAAGGACATCATTAGAGTCAAGCTAATCACACTATTTATTCTCATAGTGTATATAAATGATATTATCTTAATAAATGATGATTTAAAGAAATTATCGAACTAAAAAAGATGCTTGCAATAGAATTTGAAATCACAGACATCGGGAATCTTTGATATTTTCTAAAAATGGAGGCGGGTCGGTCTAAAAAAAACAAATTATCATGTCCCGCTGGAAGTAGATCTTAGACTTATTAAGTGAAATTGACATCCTTGGGTGTAAACCTGCTAATACACTCATGGATTCTAACAAAATGCTAAACATAAGTGAAGAAAGCAGTACAATTGATAAAGGAAGATATAAAAAACTCGTGAGCAAACTACTTTATCATTCACACACAAGACCCAATATTGCACACCAGCAAGTGTAGTTAGTCAGCATATGAAAAATCCAAATAAATATCATTTCAAAGTGATGAAGAGAATCCAGAGATACTTGACGATGAACCATGAATATGATTTGCTCTTCAAAAAATATGAAAAAAATGTGAATTGAGATATACACATATGGAAGCTGGGTAGGAGAGGCAAGTCAAATAAAATTAACCATTGGATACTATTCATATGTTTGAGAGAATCTTGTCATGTGAATAAGTAAAAAAGCAAGTTGTTGTCACTTAGAGTATTGCAAAATCTGAATATCTTGCTCTTTCACTAAGAATATGCAAGGAATTGTGGATTCAAAGCCTATTAAGGGAACTTAAGGTTGAGATGAATAACTCAATTAAGATATTGAGTGATAGTCAAGAAACTATTAAGATAGTTAAAAATCATGTGCATCATGACAAAACAAATCACATTGAGATTGATCATACTTCAGCTCAGAAAAGGTAAACAATGGAATTGCTCAGCTCAAATATATTCCTACATGGCTTCAAACTGGTGATATTCTCACCAAAGCATTACTAATAGTCAATCATGATGAATTGAAGTTAAAATATAATATATACAACCCAGGTTGATGGGAAGTATTGGAAAGTGTCAATCAGCATTATGAAGGAATTTTTTTCCTTTCCTCGAAATATATTTCACTATTATATTTCCTTTATTAGATATTTCCTATTGTTTCCTAAATTTTGGAGGGATTCCTATTTTGTTTACTTTCAATTATTATATATATGTAACAAGGTATAATGCATGAAGTGAACAAAAAAAA